GTTAGGGTCTCCTAAGGCACATAGGTCCCAGGTGAGATCCAAACAAAGAGCGATTCAGAAACCTCCAAGAAGCAACAGAAGGGGAACACAGATCCCTTGGAAGTGAGAGACTGGGCCACCTCACTGGAGCCAGACCTGGGGGGGCCTGACGGCAAGCGTCTAGTGGCCAGGCTTTCCTACATGGGGCCCAATCGGGTTCAACCCGAAGAAACAACATGGAGCTGCCACCCTGTGGGCGCACCACCTTCAGGGATTGGCATGGGGGTCAGGTGCTGTGTAGACCGGACGGCAGGCGTAGGAAGTGGTCTGGTATTGTTTATTTTGAATTTAAAGCTAATGCCCCCGTGTTATCGTTTGGATCTTTTTTATCTTCTTTATGTCTGACATGTAGAAGTTCACCAGCAGCTGATTTGGAAGTCACACCTTCTTCAGGCATGTCAGGAAGTGGAGACTCTGAACAGCATTTTTGGCCATCGCTGAGGTGTTGATGGACCAAGTCGCGTCCTGGCTGACGTGGGCACTTAGGTATTTGAAGCTGTGCACGACCGCCACTGTCTTGCCGTTAATGTTGGGCTTCAGCCTCCTGAAGTCGAGGACAATCTCCTTCGTCTTGACCGCATTGAGGATCAGGTTGTTGTCTCGGCTCCCAGTTCTCAACCTCTGTTCTGTAGGCTGACTTATTGTTGTTGGTGTTTCAGCCAACTAGGATGGTGTCGTCTGCAAACTTAAGAACGGAGGTATTCTTGTGGGAGGGTCTGCAGTCGTGTGTGTAGAGGGAGAACAGTAGAGGGCTCAGTACAGAACCCTAGGGTGCATCTTTTACCATAGACACAGTCTGTGGCCTGTCAGTGAGGAAAACATTGATCCAGCTGCACAGGAGTGTTAATGCCCAGCGGGATCAGTTTTGTGGCCAGGTTGTGGGGGGGGTGGTTTAGGTTGAAAGCGGAGCTGAACTGAAGTGAATGAACAGCATCCCGCTGATCAAAGTGTGTCTGTGCAGTGGGGAGGACCAGTGACACTGCGTCCTCAGTTGTGTTGTGGGTGTTTGTCCAAGGAGAGTGGCATGTTGCTCTTGATGTGTACCAGAACAAGGCGTTCAAAGAACTTCATCACAACCGGTGTCAGCGCCAGTGGTCAATGAGTCAGTGACCTGATTGCTGTCTGTTTTAGCACTGGAGGAATTGTGGCCAACTTGAGGCAGGTTGGGACTGTTGCCTGCTTCAGGGAGATGTTAAATAGGTTGGTGAACACTGCTGTTGGCTGTCCTGCGCAGTGTTTCAGGGCCCTTCCTGTAACCCGATCAGTGGCTTTGTTCTGGATGAAGTTGTTCTGAGGCGGTCTCACCTAGTAGGGGCTCAGCATCAGCCCACCTGGCATGTCCCCCTGCAGTGTCAGTGATGGGTTGTTGAGATTGTCTCTACAATCAAACCTGGCAAAGACGTGGTTCAGGTCCTCAGGGAGAGATGAGTTGGCAGTGTGTGTTGGGCTGCTGTTGTTGCCTGCATAGCCTGTTATGGTCTTGATGCCATGCCACATGCGTCAGGAGTCAGAGCTCCTCTATACGCATTTTGTAGCAGCGCTTCGCTTGTCTGATGCCTTTCCTCAGTCTGGACCCGGCTGTACTGTAGGCCACCTGTGCGGAAAGCAGTTTCACAAGCCTTCAACAGGTTAACCATAGCTGCATTCATCCACAGTTTGTGGTTGGGGAGTGCATGTATGTTCATCTCTGTGGTTATATTGCCCATGCAGAAGGTGCTGAGTGCAGCAGAGGTAAGGTAAAGGTGTTTAAGGCGGCTGTGGATCAGTTGGTAGAGTCGATCCCCAGCTGGGCAACATGTCCGATGTGTCCGTGGGCAAGACACTTAACCCCGAATTGCTCCCGCTGCTTCGGTGGCGGTGTTTGAATGGGATTAGTTACTTCTGATGGATGATGCTACATAACGATCATCACTACCATCAGTGTGTAAAGGGTGTGAATGCGTAGGTGTGACATGTGGTGTAAAAGCGCTTTGAGTAGTTGGAAGACTAAAAAAGCGTTATATAAGCTCAAGTCCATTTACCATTTAAGTCTGTGTGGTTGTTGTTGGTGGCAGTTTGTTTGAAGATGTACCAGTCTGTCTCATCGAAGCAGTCCTGTAGCCTGGGCATTGCTCCCTCAGGCCAGACCCCGATGGTACAAAGCGTGATGTTTAATCCTTACGATGAGAGGTCTGTATATGGGGGTCACAAGCAGGCTGATGTGGTCAGACCGGCCAATGTGGGGGAGGGGGACGCTTTGTAAACCCCTGCTAGTTGCAGTAAACATGGTCCAAGGTTTTATTTCCTTTTGTTGGGAAATCCAGGTGGTATCTAATGGGAGAGCTCCAGGCCGCAGAGTCTGAGCAGGCCGCCATCTTTACACCTACCTTACACCTCACAACCTACAGAACGTACCGCAGCACTTCCAAACACACACACATCAAAGACCACACACCCTCACAGAATACTCCAAAAGGGACAATAAACCACAAACACAGAAGTGGGCGTGTCTGTGTGTAAGGGACTAATGTGTATCCACATCCAGGTCCAGATATGGTCACTTCTGGTTCCAAAGAACCATTGTAGTATTTGCAAAAATGCCAACATTGGTGCTCACTGGTTGGCTTCAGTGTTCATACACTTCTTTTATACAGAGTGGAAAAAAATGAAGAAAACTGTAGTTAGTGTGTTTCCGCTCAGCAGCAGGTACAGAAACCCACCATGAAAACTTGAAACAGAAGCTTGCTGCTCTATTGTTTCATGTGCTTTAGCTTGAAAGACGGTCAAAAAAATTTCCACTGTGGTTGTAAAGTAATACCCTCATAATGAAGGGCCAATCAGATTGCCCTGTGATTGTTCCCTCCTACTTTATATGGTTGTATGAAGGAGAAGCAGCTTCTCATACGAGTTCATTCTACTGCTGTATTAAGTGGACGAAGGAGAAAATGAAGTCTGTTCTTGTTTTTCTACTGACGCTCACACTTGCTCGTAAGTTTATGTCCAATCTTCTCGTCTAATTCTGATCTTTTAAGGGTTAATATGTTTTATTTTTAGCACAGAGCATACATGATCTTTCTCTGTTGTTAAACACTGACATATATTTATTTTCTTCAGGATGCACCATCGATGAGAACTTTGAGACAAAGACTGTTGGTGTTGGAGATGATGTGACTCTGACGTGTCCTCGTGATGCTTCTTTATCTTCAACACAATTATTCTGGTTCCGGCTCGTTTCTGGAGATTTGCCTGAGGTTTTGGGAGGAACCAATTCCATTGATTCTGACCTTGTTGAAGAAACTCCTGGATTCACAGCAAAAAAAGAGCCTGGAACGTTTGTGGTGATTATTAATGGAGTAAAACTCGGGGACACTGGACTTTACTTTTGTGTGAAACGAGAGAGTATTAAAATGACAGTTTTAAAAGGAACATTTCTGCAGATTAAAGGTAAATAAAATGCACTTCAACTTCCTAATACCTAACACCATTTATGAGAGCAATCAACCAAATGTCCCCTGAATAAGGAAAAAACATACAGCATACTTTCTAGGATGTTTTTCTCTTAATTCTAAACTGCAGCTACTTTGAATATTTTTATCAAATCCAGCATATTTACTTTGTGTTGAATTTATTCAGGACCAGAGCCCAGTATCACCTCAGTCGTTGGAGACATTTCACAGGATCCAGTCCACCCAGGAGACCTGATGACTCTGCAGTGTTCTGTTCTCTCTGAGTCTGAAAACAACACATGTCCAGGGAAATCACAGAGTGTTCTGGTTCAGAGCCGGATCAGATGAAAATCATCCCAGTGTCATTTACACTCATGGAAACAGATCTGGAGGATGTGAGGAGAGTCCAGAGGCTCACTCTCCACAGAAATGTGTCTACAGCTTCTCAAAGACCGTCAACTCCTCCGACGCCTCGACTTATTTCTGTGCTGTGGCCACATGTGGAGAGATATTGTTTGGAAAAGGGACAAAGATTGACATCAAAGGTAACTGCACAGCATTCAATATGAATCATTTTTTAACATTCATTTCAAACAGTTGAATCCACCTGGAAGATTTTAGTGTAACATCTTAACACAATATGTTTTTATATGTTTTCAGGAGCCGACAATCAGACGGCCGTAATAGCTCTGTTTCTGTAACTGCACATATTTGGAGATGTGACAAAAGTAGATGTTGAAGGTCAAACGTTTTTTATGCTAAGAATCTACAGATTAAAGTGTGAAATGATGGTCTCATTGCAGATTGGTATGATCTCAACACATATATTTATCATAAAACACATCCTTTATAAAATATGCCGATGACTCCGTTGTTGTATGTCTGCTTCAAGAGAATGAGACGAGCCACGGCCCGGTAAATGACCAGTTTGTACCAGGTGTGAGGAGTCTTACCTCCAGCTGAACATATCTCAAACTCAACATATGATTATTGATTTTAGAAAGAAAACTCAAGTGAACGATGCCACTATTCAAAGGTCAGAATATTGAGTAAGTGCAATCTTATAAAAACATTGGGACCATCATTGATTTGAATTTTAACTTTGAAGCTAACGCTTTGTAAAAAGTCTAAACAGTGTTTGTGTCTGTAGGAAACTGTCGTACTTTCATGAACCATAATGATGATGTTTTATCATGCTGTTATTGGATCAGTCTTGTCTTGTTCTTTGGTGTCATGGTTTCAGTCAAACCTGCACCTCAGTGCTCTGTACCTCCGTTCTGAGGTATGTGGGGTGAGTCTGATTGGTGAGTCTCATCTCTTCCTGGCGTCTCTGAGACAGTTGCAGAGGATAGCTACCTCGATTATAAACGATGATTCTCGTCCTTTGCTCAGTGATTTTCAGCTTCTCCCCGGACGGAGGATTTTAGTCCCAACGTGCAGAACACAGCGGTACAAAAACAGCTTTGTTCCTGCTGCTATCACAGAAGTGAACAAGCTGTAGCCATATTTGCAAAAACATTTTTTTTCACGTCAAAAACTTATTTTTACCCTGCCTGAAGAGATCATTTTTGTTTTTGATATTATTGGTTGAGATATCTCTCTCCCTTATGCTTCTTATTGTGAGAACATTGAGCACTTTTACAATTATTTGGGGTTTTTATGATGTTTTAGTCGGTTTATATATAGTTCCCCTTTCTCTAATGTGTTGTTCATTGTTACATCTGTTCTGTAATCTGTGTGTTATCTTGCTGGCTGCAAACAAACCTACTTAAGGGTACAAATAAACGCACCTGAACCTGAACTGTAATCACATTATATTAATAATTAAATCATTCTTTTTTATTTTCATTCTTGTCTAGAACGAACAGCAAGTTTTGAATTGATCGGGCTGGTCATAGCGATACTCTGCTTGGTGATTTCTCTGATTGGAAATGTTTCTCTCATTTGCTTCCAAACTCCGAGAGAAGAAAGTGAACAATCTAAAGGTTAGTGACGATGACCCGTTCTAAAAGCATTATACAATTTCATGTAACAACGTGTTCTCAGAAGGAGGAAGACACTTTTCTGCCGGGTTATAATCTTCCTAACAGCTGTGGTTGTTGGCTCAAGTAATGAGACGAACTCGTTCTCTAAGCAGCAAAAAATCATCAAACCTTCTTCATCTTTCATTTTAACTCTGCATGTATTTTCTGTTTCATTATCCAGCTGCTGTCGTCCTGCAATTAAACAGCGAGAGGGTGAAAAATCAACAGGTAAATCATTTAAAGATGTTCATGTTGTCCTTATGTTTTTGTCCATTTAACAGCTCATGTCTATCTTTGCCCAGATTGATGAGGAGACTAAAGTTTACTCTGCTGTGGTCTTCACCATGAGGAAAGCTGACCGTATACGCTGAACGGATGCAAAAGTAGCGCAGAGGAAAAGGATGTGTGCTGCTGTGAAGGATTTTGGTTTGAATTAGTGAGTGAAAAGGTCTGTTTGGCTACATTGATTTAGCTGATTTTAGTTTGTTTAAAGCTTAAGAAAATGCTGATTACCTCCAAATATCTACACTTAGATAACTTAAGGAGGTGCTATGAATATTCTATCACTCAGGTTGTGACTGTATTGGTATGTGTATGCAAATGATATTCTATAATTCATAATAAAATGTATTTGTCAAACCTCCTTGGATTAAAGGACTGTAACATTCAGGCTTACCGGTCTCCTGCGTTGTTCTTTCTGTAAGTCCATGAGCGCTTTGTTTATGAGGAAACATCACACCACATGTTGGGAGGATAAGAAATACATGTTTCTAAATCTGCTTTACAT